CTAACGATAGGATTGAAACATACACATAATTGTACATATAATTGTATATATAATTGTATTATGTAGAAGAATGAGGTGTATATAGAGGTTAAGGATGATGTATTAAGTTTCTGTATCACGAGAAACAAATTGTTAGGAATATTTACTCTGGAATGCCACGTATGTCCATTTTTGTTTTAATTGTATTATAAATAAAAAATTAAAAAAAAAAAAAAAAAAGAGGTGCTGCTTCCCCAAGCACAAATGAAAAAAAAATCAAATGTTCATCCTTGGTGTAGAACTGAGATACCCCAAAAGTAATCGAATTTTCATCCTCCGTGTAGAACTGAAAGCTGAGTCAACTGGTATCTATGCAGAAGCAGGGAACATTATTCAGTCAAAGGCTTCATGATATGAGGGAATTGTCATATGCACATCAGTGTTTGGCATCTGTGAAGAGCTGAAAGGATGCACAATTCTTCCCTCACAAAAGGAGCCAGAATGACCAGAAGCCCCCCCAAGTGGTTGTACATTTTTTTTTTCAAACATATTATGGCCATGTTTTGCTCTTCTATAGTGTGATGAGGACTAAAAAGAAGTCTACATTTGATTTAAATAAAATTAAATATCAGTGGCGTGGTTATGTTCTTGTTATATATTATACCCTTAGAATATAGTTGCCTTCAAAATACATTAACGCACTAAAAATTTTGGAAGGATTTGGAGGGGGCATATATCAGGATTTGAGAAGCTCATGTTGGTTTATTCAACTTAATTACAGTACTTGTCAGTAATAGTTCTGGGTCAAGCTGGCCAATAAAGAGACTGAAAAGAGCAGAGAAATTAACTCAATTCTTTCTAACCCCTTTTTTCTCTCCATTTCCATTCTTTCATTCATTAACTAAATCTTTTTTTTCCTTTGCATTGTCGCCTCCGTATCCAGAGAAATCTCTTCAAACTACTGGAATCTTCAGGTCTTGTGGTTGGAGGAGAATTTGTACTTATGTTTCTCTCTGTTTATTTATGATCTGTGGATTGATGGGTTCCAGTATCATTGCTAGGGTTGGTCCAGATTCTTTCTTACCTCTGAAAGGCATTTTTGGGTCGTAGAGGTAAGCCAGAAGGGATAAGGCCTGTTATAACCCTGAACTTTATTTCAGGAGCTGCTAATGTTTCACCATCTTGTCTCCTGTCCCCAAGTCATACTTCCTGAGATGTATTCCCTACGTAACCTGTACACAAATGAGTGGTGATTTTTTTTTTGCCTCATGGTACAATATTCATATTCACTTTTCACTATTTGCCTATTTGTGTGATTTATTTAAACTGTTAAGGTTTTACGTAACCCTACAAACGTCTTTGCTCTACTCAGAAATTTCAAAGACACAAAAGAAACTCCTGAGCCGAGGTTTCAGCAAAGAAAAGCAACTTTATTTTGGCCAAAATAGAGCTGGGTAACCTCCTTCTTCATGGCTGTTTAGAGGGACGAAGGCACACCATTCCTTCTACCTTTTATACTTGTTCAGAACAAAGAGATCCAGGTCTCTTTACCAGGAGCAAGGAAGCACAGAAAAACAAATTCCAAAATGATGACTCATATACATCAATCCAGGTTCCATCCGTAACTCATTTCCCCTCTCATTTCTTGGACCACTGAGCCTTACATTGCTCTTTTCATGTAAGCAATCTCCTGTATATTTGACATGAGACACTTGCTTTTAAGTAATTTCCTTGTATGACGCACCTATAAGGTTGCTTGCTCATAAGCAAATTTATATAGAATAGCTACAAACTAACACTATTAATATCAAGCTTAAACATAATAAAATCATAAACACAATATAAGGTCCCTTCAAAACTGCATTCCCTCAGCAATATTTAGAAGAACATGAACAAGGTCACTAGGAGATCAAGTCACTAGAAGATCAAAGAGGTTTGCAATTCCCCAGTCCTGCTATCTCCATAGGTCATTCATAAAGGCAACCAATAAAATTTGCATGTTGTATTCCAGCCAGAAACTGATGGCCAGGCAGCCAAATAATTTGCATCCTATAAAGCTCTCTGCAGTTGCAAAGCACCAACCCTTTCAGGCAAGCCAGGCCAGGAATGGGACACTACAAAGTCTATTAGAGAGGTATGATAGCACCTTCCTTAAAAATAGAAGAGTGGATATGGGTGTGGCACTGTCAAAAGTAATTGGATTAAGAAGGGTTATTGATCAGAGGGGAAACAACAACCTCCTTCCTGGTGGAAAAATGCACTCTTTACAATGCCTTAGTAAGGCCACACTTGGAATACTGCATCCAGCTTTGGTCACCACGATGTAAAAAAGATGCTGAGACTCTAGAAAGAGTACAGAGAAGAACAACAAAGATGATTAGGGGACTGGAGGCTAAAACATATAAGGAACGGTTGCTGGAATTGGGTATGTCTAGTTTAACAAAGAGAAGGACGAGGGGGGACATGATAGCAGTGTTCCAATATCTCAGGGGCTGCCACAAAGAAGAGGGAGTCAAGCTATTCTCCAAGGCGCCTGAAGGCAAGACGAGAAGCAATGGATGGAAACTGATCAAGGAGAGAAGCAACTTGGAACTGAGGAGAAACTTCCTGACAGTTAGAACAGTTAACCAATGGAACAACCT